CTGCCAAATCCAGACCCACCTCCGAACCCGGCGCCGTCTTCACTGCTACTGTACCCACCGCCACCGCCATATCCACCTTTTCCTTCGTCTAAAGATCCAGTGAAAGCAAAACCTCCGGACTTTCCATCGTCCGATTTAGTTGTGATAATTTTTTCATTTTTTCCAGTTCCGCCGTTCGCAAATTTATCGATGATACCATTAAATCCTTTCATGATTTCCTCAAGTCCACCTTTAAAATCACCGCCAAAGCCACCGCCGAAACCACCACCCGAACCGCTACTTCCGCCTCCTCCGCCTCCGCCACCTCCTCCTCCGCTACCGCTGCCGAAGCCGAATCCTCCTCCGCTGCCACCTCCGAACCCGAAGCCTCCACCTCCCCCGCCACCCCTGATGCCACCCTGCTGCTCGCCGTCGGTTTCCCCACCACGACGGACTCTAACTGAAAACGTCACATTAACAATTTTAATGTATAATTAATTTTTCCAACAAGAAAAAATTACTTTTATAAACCTCTTTTGAAATTGAAAAAAAAAGTACAATAGGCCGCGTATACTTATATCATCTACTTAGTTTTTGTGAAACGCAATTGAAGGTTAACTGGGACATTTTTAAGGCGGAAATATTACTTTTGTTGTTTGGAACACGTATCTAATTTTATGTTTTTGTTAAACATAGTGACAAACAAAACAAACAAATGAATACCTGCAGCTTCACCAAAAGCTAATAGGAAGCTTAAACCCAGACAATAGAGCGTTCGTCTCATGGCTACTGGTTCACTTTAACTGTGCATGCACTAGGATTCCAATCCCTTTTATATCGGCCACTGAATCTTATCAATATCGTGAACCACTTCCCAGGAATTCAGCTAATTGGAATACAGATGAGCTTTATGACGTACATATTATCGGTATTAGTTGTGTTGAAGCAAAAAAATCACGAAGCTTGAATAAATTATTTTTAATTCCCTTCGATCATATAACTTTGAGTTAGTTAATATTTTTTATACTGTATTTTATTTTTTAAAAATTTATTAAAATTTGACAAAGATGTAGAACAGTCTTTCCCAAAGTAGGCGATAACGTCAACTAGTGGGCGCTGCAGCAAGTTGCGGGTTATAGTAAAAGTTTCGTTTAGAATTCTCCGTGAATATACATATATAGGTCACAATAATTAATTAATTTAATTTGAAGTTATAGTGGTTTTTAAACATGTGAAATTATGGGAGCGCTAAAAAAATATTTATTCTCAAAGTGGGCAGTAGACAAAATAAGTTTGGGTACCACTGATTTAGAACATAGGCTGAAAGAACACATAGGCTACAAATTAAGTTTTTTTTTTAATTCCGCACAGACGGAGTTTCGGGCGACAGCTAGTTAAATATATAGTTGAACAAAATTTTAATCAAAATGAAATATTAATCACGCTCTATTTCATCAACAATTTTATCGTTTTCGAATTTATTTCGAATTTCAAATTGCATTTCTTCACAATGTCAGAATTTATTGAATTGTAAAAAAAAGGGATTTTTCCTTTACTATACATTCCTCATGATGGCAAATATGTGTAATTGTGATTTTATGGAATGCATTAATCGTAAAGTGCCAATTAAGGAGATTATCCAATTATCGATATTTCCTCGAATGAGGTCTATTTTTAAAATATGATTTTACTTATTTCACTTAGAACAATCACAAACCAAAAAATGAATGATATTAAAAATAATTAAAGATATTTTTTAAAAGAAAACATGTCCAAAATAATTAAAGGAATCAGTAAGAAAAATAATGGGAACAGATTTAGGATACTGTAATTTTATTTTTTCTTGTTCTTTATTAATTTAGTTACCACAAACATAGAGTTAATCACGACGACGCTTTTTATAAGAATTATAATTTGTGCTGATCTATAATAATTCAGAGAAATTCAATCTGAATAAAACAATTGTCGTTTTCCTTATCATGTTTGAGAAGTCTACTAAGAATATTAGATTTGTTACTTACAGGCAAGATACGTAAATATTGTTAGGTTTTCCTCTATCGAACACAAAAAAGCCATCATAACTGTCAAATCTCAACACAGCTCAACGATGCTTGTCGCTCTTTATCTATGTTATAAATGCGAATGTTTTTGATGGATGAACGAATGGATGTTTTTAGAAGGTATGTTCGGAATGGCTCAACGGATTTTGATGAAATTTGGCACAGATTACTAAATAACCAGTCATAAATGTACTAAATATTAAAACCAAATATCTTCTTAAACTTTAAAATGACTTTTGTCACCAATATGAATAGGTTTTGATATAAAATAAATAACACGTAATTTATAAATAAAATATTTTTTTTATTCTATGATTAAGTTATGTACATACTTTCTATTTAATTATAAATTGTTGTTTTAACATTTTAACATTTAGATACATATTTAAAATACATAAATTATGACGCAGACTATATACTTATATTACACATTATATTCTTTTATTAGAGGTCCCCTTCCTATTAGTAGAAATGTGTGTCTACTTTGGCTGAAGCCGCGGAATGGACGTAAGCTGAAGGTAATCTTTCATGACTATCTTCGTACCCTTCCCTACTATCCTCAGGTTCATTTCCATCATGGAATATGATGTGTCCCTCGTGACTTTCTTCACATTCACCACTGATGTCTTCTTTGTGGTATATCGCAACATTATGTTTTGTACCATGTCCCCCACCTAGTCGCCTACCAAGTCCACCACCTAGTCCACCACCTAGTCCACCACCTAGTCCACCACCTAGTCCACCACCTAGTCCACCACCTCGTCCTCTACCCAGTCCTATACCAAGCCCGCCCCCTAAGCCGCCGCCAATACTATCACCGAGGCCTCCACCATATCCACCCCCAACTCCGCCTCCAACACCACCACCAAAGCCACTACCCTGTCCACCTCCTTGTCCATTGCCTTGTCCACCGCCAATTCCAACACCTAATCCGCCTCCCATACCACCTCCTAGGCCTCCACCTAGACCTCCTCCATGTCCACCACCTTGTTCACTCCCGTGTCC